TACTCTCAGGGGTAGGGCAAGGAGAGGTTTGATCTCAACATCACTAATGGTCAGCTGTCATACCCAATCATACATGTGAAACATGGCTGACGCTTTTGGTGAAGACGATATCTTCGCTGTTTTCGAAGATGATTCAGGCAAAAAATCAGATAAAAACAATAAGAAAGGGAAGAAGGAAGCTGCTGATTTATCGACGTCCACAGGAGCGTCAAGTATCGGAGAGAAAAGAGAATTTACACCGGGCGCTATCGACCTCGATGATGCTGGAGCTAAGAAAGCGAGAGTTGACGATATGGAGAGGTGAATCTTGTCTGTTTGCTCTTTATTACGTTTATGATTAAAAAATAAGTAACAAGTAAAAATAGAACTTTTACTTGTTAGTAGATTTTTGTTGGAAGATAGTTCACCATTGGTAAAATAACGAAACAGTCAAGTGATTGTTTACATTATGGGTGACAGTAAAAATCAGGCTCCGAAGGAAACTGTCGATCGGTCGTGTGTCCACCGGCTGTTGGGCGATTGCTTTCTCTTTGTCAGGCCGATCGTTGACCGATTGTCGTCAGTCTGTGAGTAACCTGTTCTTAACTACGACTAGTGCTTGTGAATGCATGATGCAGTGATTCTGATAATACAACACAAAGTTGCTCAAAGAAAACAAAGAGTCATAGGAATTGTAGAATTAGTTTAAAGGAAAAGTTAAGTTACTTTGTCTTTTTATAAATGTTTTTTTTATATTTGTCATGAAGTCTCCTTGAGACAATTCCCAGAGTCAATGTCAGAAATGTTGAAACTATTGAAGCCTGCACTCATGAGGTGAGTTTTTACAAGAACAATCTTTTTTTTACTACTTATCAACTAACATTAAAAGTGCATGTGTATGTTTTGATTCAAATATTTTTGTGAATTAAGATTTTTGTAGTTGGTTGGTTTTTTATTTTCATTTGCCACTCGTGGAGCACAGCAAAATAAGAATAAGGCTCACTAGAAACATCTAAACCAAGAAAAATTTGCACCATAACTTAGTCATAGTATAGGCTGTAATCAGAATGTGAGCAACAAACCATGTACTGTCTTGCTGATATCATAAATTTTCCATTTTCTTCAAGGTGGCAGTTCCAGAAGGATGTGATTATGTTCCACTAGAGAAAAAGGCAACAAAACCAGCCAAGGTAATAGTCACTTCTTTTTCTTGTTCACCCATAGTAATAGATACTATAGGGTAGCATAGCAATGTGGTGGGTTAAATTGTTACAAATTTCACAGATAATTCTTCATCCACAAAAAATGGTTCTGGTAGACAAATAATCAAACAAAATGAGATGTAATTTTTGAACCTTTTTTTTTTTAGGAGTATCCTTTCATCCTGGATCCCTTTCAAAAGGAGTCTGTGAAATGTTTAGAAAACAATCAGTCTGTCTTGGTGTCTGCACATACATCAGCTGGAAAAACAGTTGTGGCCGAGTAAGGGGATTACTTTGTGAACACAACCTTTTACATAACCTAAGGGCAATATTTGATGGAATAATCTGATTGTCTACATGTTGGTAAGGGTACATTTAGTCTTGAGGTGGACAGTTTTTGGATGTTAGGGATTGATGTTAGACAACCTTGGTGGATTGTACATCTTTCTGTATATCCCGGCGGATGAGACAGTGACAGCAATTTTAATACAGTACTAGTTGTGGAATATTTGCAAACAATGATTCAAGAAATTGTCAAACATTCTGGTAACCTTCTATTCTCACTCTCTGCCCTGTTTGAATCCAGCCTGAACAGTAGATTCTCACCACCAGTAACTATATATTTCTTTATAAATTAGTTTTGAGAGTTTGTTATCATAGATATCAGGGTGGACCATTTAACCTTAGCCCTAGTTTGGTAGCCTCTTAGCCACTTTGCTTCCTTTTGGTGTTGTATTGTGTACAATTAAATTATTGTTTTGTATTGTTGTTAGGTATGCTATTGCTATGTCTCTAAAAAACAAACAGAGAGTCATTTACACTACACCTATCAAGGTAAGAAAGGAGTACAGCAGAATTTGGATTTTTCAAATAATTGGTTTCTTAAAACTCTAGATAATTGTAACCAAAACTGGCCTCCTTTTCTCCATCCAATGCTGTAACCACTCCCCCCCTCATCATTATTTTATCCAATTTTCTCTTCATAGGAATTTTAGAAAATTAGATTAATTTAGTGTGAAGGAGAAATATCCATCTTAAACTTAAATCCTTTAAAAAAGGATTCTCTTAGAATCTGTCTGTTGTGTTTTATTATAGTTACGTAACTATTTAGTTTACATACTATGGTTTTCAGTTGAGTGAGACTTGACGAAGTTTGGCCACCATGGTTTGATGTTAAAATTGTTTCATTGTCATAGGCAGCTGGCTCTGTTTCCAGTGGCTATGTGTTTTTTGACATCTTTTCAAGGGCTTTCACATTTCAAAGTTCGGGGTGGATAACTCTTGAGATTTTGTCACCTTTGGAAATGAGGAAAATTGCTTGTGATTACAACATAATTTCATTTGTCAAAACCCTGTCACCAAACTTTTTCTGCATCTCACTCAACAGCAAATTGTATTGCCCACAAGTTATAAAGCACTTTGTCATTATTGTTTGTTTTGTAATGTTTTGTAAGGCTCTCAGTAACCAAAAATACCGTGAGTTGTATGAGGAGTTCCAGGATGTTGGTCTGATGACAGGAGATGTCACAATAAATCCCAGTGCAAGTGCCTTGGTCATGACCACAGAGGTATATGCACACGTTGTTTCTTATCTGACATTTTTATTGTTCTGTGGTTCATTAAGCTTATAATGTAGTATACATTTAATTTACACACATGTAGTATTATTGAAAAGTTCTTTTAGCCTTTTTTCTTACAAGTTAATGTGTGATTGCTTTCAGATTTTGAGAAATATGCTGTACAGGGGCTCTGAGGTTAGGAAAGTTTTACATATTAATTAAATGGAGAGAATTTGTGATTCCCCTTTGAGGAACTACCTTAGTTATTGGGTACAGGTGTTGTGTCAGACCCTTTTTCAGTATCTAATCTTAGACTGAAGATCTTTTTGTCTGACATCACTTGCAGTTTTGTAGATTGTTTAGGACTGGGATCTTGAGTTGGGAATATTTGTTTTATTTGGGTGGTAAAATTTAACATCATGATCTAGAATGGGATTAAGATTTAATTTAGTGTGCCACACACTCATCCTGTCTCAGATATGGTGGACTGTAGACCAAGAGGTTTTCTTTCAGGCAGAAGGGTTTCTTTTGTTTTTTTATGACAAACAGCTGTTACCCAGTATTTCTAAGGGTGGTTTAGTTCACCTGTTCCCTCTTAAGATCTCAGAAGTAACTCTCCAATCAGTCAGCCTTACTTTTTTCACAATATTAGCTCTGAAAACTTGGTGTTGTGTGAAACATTTTCTCTTGGTAGGCATTTTTCTTTATTCTCATCACCTATCTGTTAAATGGTGTACAGTAATAAAATAATAATAATAATAAACATTTATATCGCGCAAATTCCATGTGAATATGTTCAAATGCGCATTACAAACAAATATGAAACAGCAAATTAACATAACATCATAAGAATCACAACTGGCAGGAGGCGAACCAGTTGGCTATTTACAAAGCGTGCAGGAGTTGAGTTCGGGGCCACCGAAGACAAAGGAAGCGGCAGGAAGGAGGACTTGAACCCGGGACCTCCGGCTTGCAAGTCCAGCGCCCTAACCACTAGGCCACGCTCGCCTAGGCCACGCTCCTCCTCCAGTATTTATACTATAAGGAGAAATTACAACTTGGTCACTCTTGAGAGTAAAGGGGTTTGGTTTTTTAGTCTCTTTTAGTAACAAACCCTCACTTTGATTACAAACCTTCAGAGGTCTTTTAATGGGGATTAAGGTCTTGTGTTTGTCTCTACTTTCACTTGTAGGTCATGAGGGAAGTAGCCTGGGTTGTCTTTGATGAAATTCACTATATGCGAGATAAAGGTGGGTATGGAGAAATTGGAGTGGATCTTTTGATTATGATTGTGATAATGATAATCATTATTATGATCATGATAGTGTATTGACATATGATTTACTAAGGATTTAAATTAAATTATGTAAAATTAAATTATGTATTATTTTTTTTTCCCTGTAATTATTGAACTACTTTTCATTTCCTGTTTTTAGAAAGAGGTGTAGTTTGGGAGGAAACCATCATTCTTCTTCCAGACAATGTACATTATGTGTTTCTCTCTGCTACAATTCCAAATGCCAGGCAGTTTGCAGAATGGATTGCGCACCTCCACAAACAGGTTGACAAATTATTGCTTCTCTGCTCATTAAATGATTCATTTTGCATTGCTTTACAGAACTTATAACTACACTTGTATGTTTTATTCTGGCAAACAAACAAACTAGCTGCCTTTGTAATATGGCAAACTGAATCTTATAGGTTTAGCTGAACAGTTATTCAAGTCCTTTTATCCGAGCCTGAACTTAACCCTTAAAACCTTAAGTAACCAACATCTAATTTCTCCTTACAGTAATACTCCTGAATCATTCTTTAAGATCATGAGAATAAAGAAAATGATCACAAACTTAAGAAGCTTCAATTGTTAAACAACCCACCTTGATAATACCAAAGTAAATGTATATTAACATACTTTTCCCAACCTCATCTAGTAATGATTAATTAGTTGTGTTCTGCACAGAATGATGTGTACTAAATGTTTCTTGTTGTGTAGCCATGTCATGTGGTGTATACAGACTTCAGGCCTACGCCTCTTCAACATTATATTTACCCAGCTGGTGGAGACGGTCTTTTCCTTGTTGAGGATGAAAAGGTATGTGTCTACTCCATCAATGTAGGTGAAAAAGACTTCTCCAGGCAACAATGGCTGTGAAACTGCTGGAATAGAAAACTAGAAGTACAGTTGAATCAGTAACTCAAATTCCCCTCTTACTTGAAGCAAAACTGATTTCCCTCAGATTTCCCTCATATATTTACTGTTATTTTAACCCCTATAACTTGAAACCCTGAGAACTCAAAACTCCCCCTAACTCAAAGCAATTTTTACATGAGAATAAAGGAAATGGTCACCAACTATAGAAGCTCTTGATTTTTAACCCTTTAACTCCCAAGATCTCATCAGTAATTCTCCTTGCTGTCTGCCAAATGATTCTCATTATGTTAGTTTGGAGAATTTGGTATCAGATCAGTTAGTAATCCCATGATTGATATTTTTTTTGATTCTCATTACTTGTGTGTATGATATTGTATAAATACAGTAAGGAGAAATTCTGTCTTGGTCGCTCATGGGAGTTAAAAGATTAAACAAATTTTAAAACGGAAATGTACTGAGAACAGTATGGAGAATATACATACTGATGTTAAGGTGTAAACCAGGTTCATCTCTGGTGGCCCCCAGCTAGCCATTCTTCAATTTAGACTAAAGGTTTCTTTTATCTGGTAACATGAGAAACTGTCAGCATTTTTTAATATCTGTTGATGTTTGCTTTATTAGGGAGAGTTTCGTGAGGAGAATTTTCAAAAGGCAATGGCTGTCATAAGAGAAGGAGGAACTGACCCAGGGAACCTGAGAGGAAGGAAAGGGGGGACTAAAGGTGTGTCTGGGTGTGGACAATTTCGTGTATTGCTTATAGTATTAGCTGTGCATTTTATTTTTCATCTACACATGTACACTCTATGATTCACCTATGTCTGTCAACTTACTACCTACTTACTTACTTACTGCCTGTCGCACCTCTTGGCACGTAGGGCAACGATGAAATCTTTCCATTCTTTCCTATCCTGGGCCTGCTTCTGGATTGCCCCCTGTGTCTTATGTATGGTCTTCATCTCCTCCTCAACATCCCACTGCCGAGACGTTTTAGGTTGGCCTCTCTTTTTCTTTCCCTTGGAAGGAAATTTTAACTCATTAATCTGATGATAATTGATCTACTCACTACTGACTTTTAAATCACTTTGTTTTTGTCTGCTCAAACATAGTACAAGAGATCACAAAAGTGATACCCACACCCAATCAAAATTTTTTCTCTCTATAAATCAGTATTGATGGTCAAGTGGGACTGGAAATTGCAGAGTTGTTAACTTATAGGGTTTATTTCAGGTCCTTCAAATTGTTTCAAAATTGTCAAAATGATCATGGAGAGGAATTTCCAGCCTGTGATCATCTTCAGCTTTAGCAAGAAAGAATGTGAGGCATATGCTTTGCAGATGTCTAAACTGGACTTTAATTCAGGTAAGATGATATTATGAAGATACATGTATGGTGGCCT